GCGGGCGGTGTCCTGCCGGCTCCGTGTGCCACAGCCCCGCCGCGTGTCCAGAGTGACCCTTGCCCCGTGTGCCTGTGCCCAGGTGCCTGAGCCCGGCAGTGTGCCAGCGGCCCGTCCATGGGTGCCTGCACTGGTGGCCGGGTCATGCCCTGTGTCCCACGTCTGGGCCTACACCCCATGTCCATGTGCCAGTGGTGGTGGCAGGGCCAGGCCCCGTGCCCCACGCCCTGTGTCCACACTGGTGCCGGGTGGGGCCGGGCCCCATGCCCAGGCTGGTGGGGAGGGCCAGGGTCTGTGCAGGGCCCAGCCCGGGGGGCCGCAGCCTGGCCAGCCAGCTGCCTCCATCGTGGCTGTGTTCGTGCCCCACGGCCATGGGGCTGGTCGGCGCTGGGGCCCTGCCCCTGCCTGTCTGGCCTGCCCAGCCCCTGCGCTCTGGTGCCCGAGCTGTGGCGCACCAGAGCTGATGTGGGGCCCCCGTGGCAGGCCGGGGTTTCCACAGGATGTGTGAGTCATGGGTGTGCGGCGGTTCCTGCTTTGCAGCGACAGCGCCGGACTCGAGGCAGTGACGCAGGCGGCTCGGCTGCGCTGCTGGGGCTGCTCCCGTCCCTCCAGCTGCGGCGCAGCGCGGCACCTTCCTAGCCATGAGGGCGCGGGCAGCGCAGGAGGGCGCGGGCATGATCCTGGCGGTGCTGCTGCTCTGTGGCCTCGGCCAGCTGGGCACGGCCGCCCCTGGCTCACAAGGTAACAGCTGCTCTCGGATCGGCTCCTCCCGTCCGAGCCTCGCCGGAAAAGGCAGTGTGCGCGGCCTTGACACATCTCCGGACGGGCCAGGAATGCAGGGCACGCGTCAGGGCGAGCACGTGCCCCACCAGTGCAGAAAGGTGGCGTCTGACGTAGCTGGAGCCATGGGCCTCAGACCCGGGCAGGACGGGCATGTGGGGCCGTCCACTCCAGGGCTGCTCAGCCTGCCCGCGGGCCGTGTGGCAGGGCTCCGGGTCTCTCGTTGCCTGGTGGGGTCCCTGGGGGTTGCCAGTCTGGCTGCCCTGGGGGCTGACCCCCGCCCGGCTTTGGGTCCACAGGGGAGGGCTGGGTGCGTGGCAGCTGCCTCCACCACATCCTGCTCGCTACCTCCCTTGGGGGTCCGGTTCGTAGCAGCTTGCAGCAGCGAGCGCGGTGCCACTGTGGCCGGCCGGCTGCCTGCGGGGCACCAGGCGGGTCACCTCTCTGGGGCAGGGCAGGGTGATATCCCTGCCAGGGGCCAAGTCCCGGGCCAGCACGTCTCCAGCCCCAGTTCCTGTCCGTGGGCCCCCCGGGCTCTGCTGCGTGTCTGGGGCAGCGGGTGAGGCTGTGTGAAAATCTGGTTCCTCCTGGGAACATCAACCCTGAGCCACCATGTTGGCCACTTCCTCAAGCCGCAGGGGAAGGCATTCGGCCCCGCCAGCTGCAGCTCACAGCCGGGGGCACAAGCCCAGACAAGGGGAGCACAGTGGGGCCATTTTGCTGGGAAACAGGGTGCGTGGGCAGTGCCAGCTGTGGGGGCGGCAGAGAGGTGCAGCGGAGGCTGCGGCATCTCCCCAGGCTGCTCTGGCTGAACAGCTGCCCACACACCCCTGCGATCGCCGCCTTGGCCGGGGGCGCTGAGATGCCCTTGGGTTGTCCCAGGCTGGTGAGTCTGGCCCCGGCAGGAGCTGTGCGGGTGCCAAGCAGTGTTGCTGCTGCTGCAGGCGCTGGGCTTGGGACCAGCCGGAGCCACCCGCTTCTTCACCCTGAGCCGTCGCAGCCTTTGCCCAGTGGCTGGAGGCAGTGCCGTCCGGGACC